CCCCCCCCCCCCCCCCACACACAGCTCCAGCCTTAGAGACCTGTGAATCAATAAAAAACACACAAAATATTGACATCACTGAAGTCCCAGAAGGAGTGAGGCTGAAAAAGTATTCAAAGAAATAATGGTGGCCAAAAACTTCTCAGATTTAGTGAAAGACATAAATTCAAGAAATTGAGAAAACTCAATCATGATAGATGCAAAGAAATCAATATCACCTGGCTGGGCGTGGCTCAGCTGTTGAGCATTGACCTAGGGTCCAGGAGGTGGCGGTTTGATTCCTGGTCAGGGCCCAAGCCCAAGCTGCAGGCTGGATCCCCAGTCAGGGCGTGCAGGAGGCAGCCGATCAATAACTCTCTTATCATTGATGTTTCTATCTCTCCCCCCCCATCCCTTCCTCTCTCTGAAATCAATAAAGACATATTAAAAAAAAATACTCACAGCTTCCAGAACCCTCTCTTCTACTTGCCAGTCTCCCCACTCCACCCCACCTTTCCCTTAAAAAAAAAAAAAAAAAGAAAGAAATCAATACCAAGACACATCACAAGTAAAATTCTGAAAAGTATCTAGATAAAGAGAAAATTAAAAATCTAAAGAAAAAGGAAAACTCTTAAAAGCAGCCAAGAGAAAAATGGCACATTGCCTATGAAGGTATACCAAAGTGAATGACTGAAGACTTCTCATCTGAAACCAATGGAATGACACTTTTTTTTTTCCTATGCTAAAAGAAACAAATTATCAACCATGAATTTTATATCCAATGAAAGCATCTTTTAAGAATGAATAGGAAATAAAGAGGTTCTCAGATGAAGGGAAACTAAGAGAAGTTATTGGTAGATATTGGCAGAGTTGTTTAAAAAGCATGATCCCACTATATAAAAGAAATAAAAACAAGAAAGCTTCCATTCACATGAGGCAAAAATTGATACAAATGAAAGGAGAACTAGATAAAACCACAATTATAATTGGGGACTTTAACAACTAACTCTCAGAAATTGATAGAAAAATCAGCAAAAGTATAGAATTGAAGAACACCACAAAGCAGCAGGATTGCCTTGACATGAAAATGAGACAAAGACTGTACAAGAAAAGAAAAAAAAAAAAAATCAATGTCTCTCATGAAATTTGACACAAAAATCTTCAACAAAATATTAGTAATGCATAAAGCAATGTATAAAAAGAATCTATATACCATGACTAAATGGAGTTTCCAGATATGCAAGGTTAGTTCAATATCTAAA